GCAGAAGGCAGTGTAGTGGTGGAGCAGAAGGCAGTGTAGTGGTGGAGCAGAAGGCAGTGTAGTGGTGGAGCAGAAGGCAGTGTAGTGGTGGAGCAGATGCTCATGAAGGCAGCTGTGTGCAGGAGACGCTGCAGTTCCTGCAGAGGCGCGTGCAGGAGGCGCAGCAGGCGTGGGGTGCGTGCGACAGGCTGCAGGCAGCAGCTGCAGGCGCCGGAAGTACTGCGCATGGCTTATTCCTCACCGTCAGTATCTCGTTGCCTTCTATATTCATGATTATCTTGCCAGTATGTAGAAATTTTTTATATTATATGAGTATATGAATATGTTATGATCACTTTGCGTCGTTTTCAAACTATGTTAATTTGTAACTTCTCATTGTGCGACCCAATGATAATGTGCAGGGCCTCAACCTGCTGGGGCTGAACAGCAGGAGCCGCTGAGGCAGCCGCTGCTTCGCCACCAACACCAACAGCCCCGTCTGTGTATCCAAACGCTCCCGCTCCAAAAACCCTTCTCCCACAATCACCATCACAGGCCTGATCACAATCGTCAGCCTCGTCCGTACCACCAAGTCCTTTGCCCACTGCACTTACAACGCTCTCCTTAAGTCCAGCCCCAAAATCTCAAAGGCCTCGCATTTCTACCAAGAGCGCCGCCTAATAAGTCGAGGTTCCAGTCTCATGATCTTCGAGTCTCGCCGCAACTGCCAGAAGATCCACATCCCCCGCAAGAGCCTCACGCTGTCATCGCGAGCTCCTCTGCAAGCACTCCTATGGCACTGAATATGGGAAAGCCTCGCTCGGCTTAGGCGATTTGCTCCGAGGGTTACCCCACCCCAGTAACCACGAGCGCTGTTGCTATCAGAACCTCTTGTCGCCTATAGTATTCCGTCGCCCTCTGGCACATGGAACCGTTGTTTCCTTATTTAAAATGTCATTTATCACGAGGGTAGCCTATGTGACGGCTGCGTTCAGCGCAATACGCCTGCCGTGCTGAGTAAGTTCAACGACGATCTTAAACAATTGGGTCCAGGGGCGCGCTAAGATTTGTATATCGGGACCTCGGTGGGACCTGCTTGTGTGTAATGCAGTTGCTCGGAACTATAGGTACTTCTGTAACTATTGAGGTACTTCAGGTACTCTTATAGAGGTACTTCAGGTACTCTAGCTACCTAACTTTTAGGTATGAAAACCATTGACGATGATCAATGTGGCGGCGAGTTTGTTAAGGTTAAAAAATTTACCAATGATTACGCGTTAGATGAATTGATTACTTGAATGTATCGCAAGGATTTTCTGCTGGAAATATTACTTGAATCTTCGATGCAATTAAGTGAACATCATATGTGCGGCGCTGATGTTGCTGACGCAGCACCTGTTGTTAGCTGTTAATTAGACGCGGCTTCTTGTTTGTAAGTCATGCATGTTACCGTCGTTTTAATTAAATCCTTCAGCGACTACCTGGCGTCATCTCGTGACCAACGCACTCCATGAATGTAATTCCAGTAACTAATATGGCTCTGATTAACCAATTTAATTAATTAATTAATAAAGGTCCCCGAAGGATTACTAGAATTTGAAACAAGAACCAACACCAGGGGCCACGGCTATAAACTAAAAAACTGCGCTGCAACTTCTCCACGCGACAAAATTTCCTCTCGCTTCAAATCACCGACTTGTGGAACAGCCTCCCCGATGACATCGTTGGCGCTCCAAGTATGAACGCGTTCAAGAACAGACTAGATAAAGCTATGGAAAAATATATGTTCAGATTTGAAATGCCTAGCACCTTATCAAACCCGGTGAAAGTCGAGCGGCTATTTCAAAGTTCAAACTATCGTCAGTCGTGAAAAGATCCGGTCAAATGACACGATTTTAGATCTGTGAACAAGGCACGAAAAGGAAAAGAATCGGCGACAGGCCACATCAGGCCTACACTGCACCGCCGAGATCACTATGTTATGTTAATTGGCTCCTTGGGTTGACGTTGCTTATTAGGAAGGCGTGCGTCATGCGTCGGTCGTTGAGGTTTACTGACGTCATACGTTAATCATGCGGTAGCGCTGACGTGGACTCGACGAGTGACGAACTATTGACGTCTCAGATAGGCGAGCGCAATGCGCGCTCCTCACTGAGACAAGAAGGACCCGCATGGCACGGGCAGGGAATTGTAGTGAATTATAACGACCAAGCTTGCCTCCTGCTTCTGAGGATCTTTGGTAAAGTTTATATCAGGAATTGGCCCATAAAATTCCTCATGGGTAAACCTGTGGTGTGGCGCAATACATCGTATTGTATGCAGACAAGCGCCTATAGTGTGCACCTCATACGGCTCAGAAATGTAGCGTATTGTTTGCAGACAAGCGCCTATAGTGTGCATATCATACGGCTCAGAAATATGCCGTATTGTATGTAGACAAACGCCTATAGTGTGCACACCATACGGCTCAGAAATATAGCGTATTGTATGCAGACAAGCGCCTTACCTCGTACGGCCTTAGCGTGCTGAAGGCACAGTTGTTCTCCGCTTGATAAGCGGTCGCCGAGGGTTCCCAACAAACTACAACCTTGCCCTCGCTTTATGCACCGGCACTTGTGGGTAATAAAACACGTGTACTAGCCTCATTCGCACCATTTTTACAGAACTGCACTAAAATTGAACCTTTCACTGAAATCGTTTCGGTCTAAATTCGAGAGATAAGTAAAACCGGCATGGTAAAAAGTGAGAAAATTGGGACCCTCAAACACGTAGTGTGCGTTCTCGATCACTGCCAGAACCCAACTTATGAAAAGATCGGGTTCCATTGGCCGGATCCCTTGTGAATCAAGTCACGAAAAGTTCAAGAATCGGCAACAGGCCATGGGCCTATTTCTTCAATGCCGACACTTCTATTCTAAGAATTATGACCTTGTTTACGGCTATTTAATTGTGATTATGTTCGAATTCAGAGAAAAAGTATTTGTAACTCAGAACTCGTCAAAATTTATTTTAATAGAACAGAAATATGTCTACGGAAATCAGTTTTTAGCAATGAAGTGAGAAGGATATTTATTGCTCCGACTTCAAGTTCCGTTTGTCAGGATTTCGACGATCCTGTATCGCAACTCCGCGAGTTAGGATTACCTAGCTGCACCGTTTTTGTCATACCGGTTATTTAACCGTTGCGGTTTGGGCGGTCGGTAAAGTAATTTACACATGACAATGGAACATTCTTTGATGCAGCACAGACTAGCAGATTGACTAACAATCTTTTGGAGAATTAATTGGTTTTCTATTCTACGAGATTCATTTTAGGCTGTCCCCTGTCGAGGCGGAACGGCGAACGCAAATGACATAATATTGTTTTCAAAAAAAGAGCATGCGTTTGCCGCCGCCGATGCTCCGTGCTTAGGGTTAGGGAACAAGGTTGAGTCTGGTTGACTTGACAAGTTAGACGCTTGAGGCCTTGGTAAAACTTTAGATTTAGTGCATCCAAAAAAAGGGTGTTTTTTTATTAATTATATGTTTTTGGGGTGTAGATAAAGAATCTGAAATCCATTTTTGGAGGTTGGCATCGGAAAACCAATTTTTTCCCCCGAGGATCTAATTTGTCAAAAAAATCCGGCAAAAAAAAAAAAACAAACCTAATGCCATTAGGTTTGGGCCGTTACGGCTATTTAATAATTTAATTGTGATTATTAGGCCGTTAGGCTAACGGCCTAACCTAATCTAACGTCTAACTTAAGAGGCTAAGTTCCTAACTGTGGTTGCAACTTGCAAGAGTACACATACTGACATAGTGGCCCACTATGCAGAGGGTGGATGCAGCGTCGGCAATATATGGATTTTTAAGCCCAAAGCGTCGCCGGCCATTTTAAAGATGCGTCGCCGGGTAATTTTAAATGAAAAGCCATTTACGCTGAGTAATGACGAACTATTTACAAGCCACAAACTTATAACCCGGACATGTCTTACATTTTATTATTGTCAGTTCGACTCGCGTAGTCAATATACTCGCGTATATTGTCGACTAAAATAGTAGAACTATTTTAGCTTTCTAAAGTACGGCGCACGGCGCATTTTTTTACCAGCATAGTATGGCGCACCGTGCAGGTCATTAAAATGACAAAATAAATTCCTGCGTACCTGGCACATCTTCCTGACCATGGTAATGCAAGAGTATATGGGTCACCAAGGCCCATGGTGCAGAGGGTGGATGCAGCATCGCCAATATATGGGTTTTTAAGCCCTAAGCGTCGCCAGGTAATTGTAAGATGCATCGCCAGGTAATTTTTAATGAAAAGCCATTTACGCTGAGTAATGAAAACTATTTACAAGCCACAAACTTATTTACAAGGTTGCATGCACGTGTTACCCCAAATAACTAATTTTACCCTAAAAACAGTCCGATTGTACAGCAAGTGTCAACTGAACATGTGATAATGCAGTCTGACCACTCTAATGTGACCGCAGCTACGTAATAGTAAACTTGATGTTTACTATTATGTATTACGTTTACCATTTTTTTGGTGGGAACTCATCGCAACTGATTTCCAGACAAGCTTCACTGCATAGCAACTGATATCGGAAACCTTACTTTTTTTAAATAGTTGGCCGAAGACTGACAAATATATTAAATGAAAGAATTTCAATCTAAATGTGTCGGCAAGATCTTCTGAAGGCATAAATTTTGCTACTGAAGCATTGCCAAAGATCTTGCAATATTCATCCACTCTCTGCATAGTGGACCGAGGCTAAGTTAAAAATGCTATAAATCCACAGATATTGGGGCCAAGATTTAACTTGCATTCTATCTTAGAAAATCTAAAAAAATCGGTTTCCGATGCCGACCAAAAAAATTTTTTTTAAATAATGTTAAAAAAATTAAAAAAAACACTAAAAATTCACTGTTTGGAATTTATTTTTTTCTTGAACATCCACACTTGCCCACCCTGGAAATTGATTTGAATTGCTAAAATTGCTAACTAAAAAGTAGAAAATAAATAAATATAAAAAATATTTTTAAAAACCATGTTTGTCTGGATTTTACAAAACTAAAAATAGTGAAATAAAATAAATAAAAAAACTTTTAAAAACCACGTTTTCTTAACGGACAAAAAAGAAAAACATTTACTCTTACATAACATTACGTAACATTTTACATGACTTAAATGTTATGCAAGAGTAAATATTTTCTTTTTTGTTCGTTAAGAAGACGTGGTTTTTAAAAGTTTTTTTATTTATTTTATTTTTGGATGCACTTAATCTAAAGTAATACCGAGGCCTTCTCAGAGGCCTGTTTGTCTCTCCAAGACTATACTAATTACCAACTTTTGTACTACTATTACTCTATTAGCAATTAGCAAAATGCGAGGGCTGCTAGGTACGTGGGTTGCAAAAAAATGAAAAAAAAGTTAGTGTCAAGTTCTGCCTGTTCTGGTCTGGCATGATGGAACATAGAGAGTAGGCAGATGAAGCCAATGTTTATCAAGGCAACTCTTGAAAGTATCCACAGATGGTGCTTTGATGCATGGTGGCTAACAAATTTTTTGCCTGACTCATTTTCAGACGCATTCATAACTTCGTAATTCACATTCACTTTTTGTTATTTTACTACACTGGGCCCTATATGGCATGTATTAAGTATTTTGAAAGTTTGTTATGTTTGAATGTTCTACTTTTGATTTGATTAATGTTTTGTATCACAGGTTCACAATGGTAACCCCAATAGCTTCCGATTGCTGTTGCCACAACGAGATCGAGAAGTAAACAACACCCTCTTTCCAAGGAATACCAGCTGTTACATGTTAGATTGGGATTCAGTCACTTGAATAAGGTAAACGAGTTTGTTCAAATTTTGGTTAATTCAAATTTTTGCAATTATATTCAGATGACAAAACATTTTTTACAGATAACCTTATAAATTTTGTCTAAACTTTAAACTAGATACTACCGCTTGTTAATTATAAAATAACTTACTATATTACTTACGAAATTGACACTCATTTAGTTGAGGTCAAATTTGCTATCATGGTCATACATAACTTACGGAAACAAAAGATTAATGATATGCAAACCACGGCACAGCTCATTTAGATTGGTTGCTATAATCTTTAGCTTCTTGAAATTCCATAGATGATATCGAAGATATTTTTAAATGAATGTATATGAAATTGATCAGGCCTTTTTTATTTACATCAAGTGAGAGAAGTCTCGGACAATGTCCGAGACGTAAGTGAGAGCGAGCACCTTGGTTTCTTTGAAAACCAATTTTGAGCATAAAATTATTACAAAAAAGCAGAGAAGAATTGTATTTTGATAAAAATTTAACAATGATTATTTGGGGTTTTGCTTTTAAGACAAGAGGTTCCTCTATTGATATTATTTGTAGAATATGTGATTTAGTATTGGCAACTTTATGATAAATATTCATATCTACAATCCCAC